TTGCGGACAATTGTGCTTGCAGTTTCTCCAAACGGTAGAAGATCAATTTAAATGATGATGATGACATTCCACTAACAGCAGTCAGTATTCGTTCGGCAGTTTGCAAACATGTCGCTAACGCTTACGTTGACTGGCAACAAGCACCCTTACAGTGAGCTACTTTCCCGCTATAGATTTAAGCGATGGTGATTACGAGCTCGGTTTTAACGGATTTCGAAGCATACAATACGATACCAAACGTAAATTCGTCGAATAATAAATTTTACTATGGTGCTAACAATGAAGAAATTACGAATTCCCTGAAGGATCGTACGAATTGCGCGCCATATACGAATATCTGAAACGTGCAATTTCACATTCTCCAAAAGCAGTACGTTCCAAAATAATCCATATAGAGATGACGAGAATGAACATCCTATAATAATTCGTGCCAATAATAATACGATGAGGAGTGAAATAAAATGTGCTTATAGAATAAATTTTAGTAAACCAAACAACATTGGCTCGCTTTTGGGATTCTCATCGAGTCGTATATTAGAACCGCACCGATGGTACGGATCGGACGCCCCGATTAAGATTATCAACGTGAATATCATTCGTATAGAATGCAGCGTTGTCAGTGGTGCGTACAGTAACAATATGCGTGTACATACGATACATGAATTCTCGCCTAAGGTGCCACCAGGATATAAGATATCGGAAACACCGACACATGTCATTTACCTTCCAATCATCGCACGGGGCATTACAGATTTAACGGTGCGTGTAGTTGATCAAGAAGGACAATCGCTCGATTTTCGCGGAGAAGAGATTACCATAGATTGCACGTACGACGGCGACGATAATAAACGTAATCTATGAAATGCTTGTGGTGAATCAAGTGGAACAGGTGAAACAAGCTGGAAATATACTTTTTTACAAGATACGCAATTAATAGTACAAAATCCCTCGTTCGAAAGAAACTCAGCGCGTTGAATGTTGAATTTTTGAAATCTCTAGGATTCATCGTACGAAACGATTGAGAAAGATGATTGACATTTTGAACATTGGAAATGAACCGGTTTTTGACGAGCGCATCGTCAAGATTGAGACACATACGTACAATCCATACTCTAACATAACGTTTGGACATAGCGACGAGATATGAATACCCATACAGCAGCAGAATTTATACATATTGCCATGTGAGAGTTATCTCTATGTCGAGGGGAAGGTGACGAAACAAGTTGCAGACAAGGTGCGACTGTAACGTTGGGATATAATGGTGTTACATTCATGTTTGATGAGATTCGTTATGAACTGGATGGTGTGGAGATTGATCGTAACAGAAAGGTGGGAATAACTTCAACGCTCAAAAACTATGTATCGGTATCTTCAGACAAAAATGCCATCATGAAAAGTGCCGCGTGGGATACGACTGACACTATTTCGCCGGACGGATACTTCAACTTTTGTGTACGCTCAACGTTTTGCTAGGATTCTGTGAAGACTACAAATATAGTGATTAACGCGCGTCACGAATTGATTCTATTACGATCGCGCAGCGACAATAACAGTCTACTAGGATCTTCAGCGCTGGATCCTAAGATTGAGCTATTCAAGATACAATGGCGAATGCCTCACGTAATCTTGAACGATATCAATAAACTTTCCATGCTGAAAACTTTGGAGGATGGACGATACCTGAGTATGAGTTTCCGTTCGTAGGATCTGTATGAATTTCCTCTACTGCAAAGCACGACCAAACATTTGTGGACCGTCAAAACTGCTACTAATTTGGAGAAACCTCGATACGTTATCTTTGCGCTGCAGACTGGTCGGAAGAATGTCATGTCGGAAAATATAACTCGTTTCAATGACTGCAAATTGATCAACGTGAAGCTCTATCTGAATTCAGAGTGTTATCCGTATGACGACATGAATTTGGACTTTACAAAAAATAAATACGCCGTACTTTACGATATGTATAGACGTTTTCGTAAATCGTATTATGGATGCGACAATGCTGAGGCATGGTTAACAACTACCGACTTTCTGCGGCTAGGTCCTTTCGTGGTTATCGATTGCTCGCGTCAAAATGAGTCTGTCAATAGTGCCACTGTGGATGTGCGCATAGAATTTGAGTGTAAGTAGAATATACCGGCGAATACTACCGCATATTATCTCATCCTGCATGATCGTGTAGTTGAATAGAGCCCGCTAACCAACATGGTGCGCAAACTTAACTAACATCAGAAAGTATGTACGAGAAAAGAATAATACATGCAACAAAGTGCTATAAACAACATTTCTCTCCCGGACGTGTCGAAGAATATTTCACCATGGATGTGCCGACTTTTATGGATCTACAAGGGTACATGGTTGGAAAGAGATTTATTGTAAAAGAAGCGGCGATACTGAAGAATGGAACTATTCTTTCACACTACATCTTCATGAGTCCGATGCCATGGCATCTGCTCACAAGATCAGACAAATCGAGAGCCTACTGGTTAACGGCTAATCATCATGGATTACGATGGGAAGATGGAACCGTCAAATACTGCAGAGCTGAACATTTGATTACTACCGCTGTGGTGGGTGATATGTATGGCGAGCTTGAAGATGTTGCATCTCAACTTGTGTATGTAAAGGGGCATGAGAAGCGGGAATGGTTGTTACACCTTCTAGATGACAATGTGAGAAGCAACGTGATCATTAGGACCGTGGACACCGATTATGATGACATGCCTTCTCTGCAAAAATTGAATAATAAGGTAAACGTACCAATGGCTGGACAAGACCCAATTACTGGACACTCCGGCTAACATTTGACGATACTAAGAGTATAGTGGATAACAATTAATATGTAACTATTGAAATGGGATCTATAGTGTGTTATTAATATACGGGAAACAATTTTATATGCTTTACTATAAAATTGTAGTTTAGTATATCAAAGATATCAGCAGGGTCGTGTCGCTTCAGCCATTGAAGCACATCTCTAAGCCGATGAGCTAAGGAATGGCGAATACTCTTTAACATTGTACGGTCGTTATTTTGCCGATTCCGCGATTTTTTATGTGATTTTCATGTACAGAAAATCGTAACGTTTCAGAAATGACCGTTAAAATTTATCTGATAATATTTACAACACATAATTTTCGTGTTCCGGCATTGGGACCGACCGATTGTGCGCTTGTACCAGTGTCCAACGTAGTGTCCAGGCACTGGGGCGTATATGCGAAGTCGTTGAGACCCAAAGCCGGGACATGACCACAACATTGCTTCGTTGACGCCGGTGTGAGTTTACGTAGCATCAAATTAATAAGACAAAGTATCTACATCCGTGTTATACATATAAACAGTTATCGGTAAGTACACATACTGTATCTTTCAATTATTCGAAACTATAAAATCACTGCGCGGATAGTATAGTATTTGCAAATTCGTTCATTCACCTTTCGAAAGAGGTTATGTTGACACTTCCATCGCTATTTCTCATATATTTATCGCAATGTGAAATTCATGTATATAATTGTTATGATGAAAAAATAACAGCAAACATTTTATAAGGACTTAATGAAGTTTTCAATGCCTCTAGATTGATGAAAAAAATTCTTGAAAAAATGCATGCGTCAAGTCACCTTTCGCTGGTAAAACTTCACCTCATTTTCCCAAATTTTATTTTTAGTTATTGTCGTGGAAAACATGTCGAAGGTGGCATCAACGTCATATTCTCAATCTGACGTCGAAAAGGCTGTGGATGCAGTACGATTAGGAATGTCATTGAGGACAGCGAGCAAAACTTTTGGCGTTCCGAAGAGTACAGTCTACAGCAAAGTAAAAAATATCCATCCTATGAATGCCACACTGGGTCCAGCTTCTATTTTGACTCCAGACGAAGAAGATTTACTCGTCAAGTGGATATTCCATTTCTCTGACAAAGGGTTTCCCGTAACGAAGGATCAACTTCTGACTCTGTCAAAATATTAATATTGGAGCTGAAATGAGACAACCCATTCACCAACAACCGGCCGGGCCGACACTGGTACGAAGGATTCTGTCGAAGACATCCCGAGCTTTCTGAGCGAGTGGCTCAGAATTTAACGTATAATCGAGCATCAGCTACCGAACAGAAATTAAAAAATTGGTTCAACGAAGTTTCTGAGTATCTAACCGCAACGAATTTGTTAAATATCGACCCGAAGAGAATATTCAACTGCGACGAAACTGCGTTTATGTTGTGCCCTAAAGCAGATCGCGTAATTGTACGAAGAGGAGCGAAAGGAGTATATAAAGTAGTTGATGCAGACGAAAAAGAATGTCTCACGACACTTTTTATGGTTAATGCTGCTGGCACGATGGTACCGCCCATAGTAATGTATTGGTATCAAAAAATACCTGCCAGTGTATCACAAAATGTACCATCAGGTTGGAGCATCGGCACGTCTGATCGAGGATGGATGACGGCGGAAACATTTTATGAATACATAGCCAACGTCTTCTACTCGTGGCTTCAGAAGAATAACGTCGAGTTTTCGATCGTACTCTTCGTCGATGGTCATTCATCACATTTAACTTTGCCTCTTAGTAACTTCTGTCGCGAACATAAAATAGAGTTGATTGCTCTATTCCCGAATGCCACACACATTCTGCAACCCCTGGACGTTGCCGTTTTTCATCCACTAAAAAGAGCGTGGAAGAAAACAGTGAACCACTGCCGACTAGAGAATAACGGAGCGCGACTGAAAAAAGAAATGTTCGCACCTCTGCTGCAGGAAATTTTCGACTCGATAAACCTCACGCAAACTATTACAAAAGGGTTCGAAACGTGCGGTTTATCTCCGTTCTCAGCGGATGCAGTGAATTTTAATATCCTCAAAAAAGGACGGGCCTCTGAAAATACCGCGCTCAGCGACATATCCGAAAACGAGGTTTCCAGCGTAGGTATAGGCGAAAATAAGAAACAACTACAATTCTTCGAGCAGCGTTTGTCGGCGAATTTAGTGAAGACCTTTCAAGAATCGAGACATGCGGGAGTTTGGACTGGAGAGATAAAAAATGAAGGACTTTTTCAGTTTTGGCTTCAGTTGAAAGAACTCGCCGGTATAAGGAGTATAAATAGTTAACGTTTACAACATTATGAGCTTAGGGTTGTTTACTGTGGTTTCGCAAACATGGTTCTTTTACTACTTTTATCTATAAGTATATGGGTTTTTTCATTAAGTAGCTAATAATGAAGATACTACGAAAACAACGGAAGCCGTCGGAGGAGATTTTGTTGACGAAAGCTGCATGCCGGTCACGATTGAGCAAAGCTGCAATATTGAGGAATCATCGGCGAACATCGAGCTCCGTACTGACGTAGAAGACATTGATGCTACTCTTCAGCAAGGAAATTCCATTATTTTCGACGTGGACGAGAATGGAACTCTCGTACAAGTACACCCGGAAGTAGAGAGCCTCAATGAGAGCGTTGGTATACCAACAATCAACGGACTGTCGATGACTGTGGAGGAACCTCGTAATGTCGCAGAAAATAATGATCGCGAAGGTTTGTATTAGAAACGGTCTTATTAATGCTAATATTTGTGTTAATACATATCAGTTACGTGCAGAAATTATTTACATAGATAGGGGTATCGTCGAATGTCGAGCACCGAAGAACATTCCAGGACCATTCGCGAAAGCTTTGTTTTGACCCGAAGAGGTCAAAAGAAAGAAACCGCTACCGAAAAGAACTGAGACAGTCCCGAGCGTCGCTACATCCGACGAGTGGCAGACGTACCATCAATCGAAGCAGGAAAAAGAACAGGCCGAGTTGCAGAAGAAAGAACAAAGGCTGAGAAGAAGACTGGAGGCACGAGAAAAAGATTCAGCAGGAAAAAAGAAAACAGCTCCAAGAAGAAAATAAAAGAATACTGGTCCAAAAACAGTTGCAGATAAACGCAATAAAGAGAGAGCTAGCTGAAAACAGGCAATGCCAGAAAAAGACCGGAGCAAAACAAAAGAAGCAACGAGTAACAGAACAATGAGCTATTATTATTCATTATTCATTAAATATTCGTTAAGAACTTCGTGTGAGAACTTTCATTATTTTATTACGAATATATATACGTTGTTTATCATATTACTCATTAAATATTCGATAAGAACTTCGCATTATATCTTTTATTATTTTATTATTAATATATATATGTATGTTTTTCATCATATCGACTGGTAAGAATGAAAAAGACCCTCGCATTAAATGTTACGGAATACACCTTTCTGACTCTTAGCAGTCGATATATTATCATTATCACTCGTTTAATAAAATAATATGAGTATAAAAAAGTATAAAGTATAAAAACTAGCACATACGTAAGTATAATAGCTCTTTTCATGCAGATGTTATTACTATTCATCGGCGTCCAGTCATACGTACATCTGATGTCCGGACATCGGGACACACCGATAAATAGCTGTCCAGTAACTGGTACATTTTTTTCTCCCAACGTTTTTGTTAATAAATATGTTTCAAACTATCGCAAAAGAATTTAATGGATGGGTTTCGAAAACCAGAGACTAGAGACTCTAACCTTGAGATTGATTACCGTCATTCCCCAAAACGATCGACGCATATCGGTGAAAATTAGATTAGAATACAAATATCGTCTTAAATGTCCAGCCATTGGTACGTTTACCTTACTTTTCGATGTAATAATCATATGAAAAATTGTGCCTTACAGAACGTACTAAACATTTTCAATTAGTGGTCTTGGAGAGAATTGTACGACGCTTAATAAAACATTTCAAATGTACAGATGTTTCTTCCAACACGCTTATCCCCTTTCACCTCTTAGGACTTTATATGATAATTGTGTTTGGTAAAAATACAGTTCTTTATTTGCGGTATGATGATTATTAGACGTCCGAGTGACGTCCGATAGACGTTCGAGTGACGTTCGAGAGACGTCCGATAGACGTTCGAGAGACGTCCGATAGACGTTCGATAGTAATCGCGGGGCCCAGATTCGATATTAACCGCGGGGCCTAGGTTCGACCCTATCTACACCGCCGCCATGTTTGTTCTTTTGACGTATGCGTGACGTCACGGTCGCCATCTTACCCGTAACGTGACGTCTACTAGCAATAGGCGACGGTGGTCTAGAAAGTTCGCGGGGCCCAGGTTCGAGTCTATCTACAGCCCGACGCGTTTTTCTCGTGACGTGACGGCCGCCATCTTGCTCATAGAATCAAAAATTCTGGGGTGGAGGAGGAAGGTACCAATAAAGAGGGGGTATCAATTAAGAGGGGGTACCAATTAAGAGGGGGGATCAATTAAGAGGAGGGAATCAATTAAGAGGGGGTATCAATTAAGGGGGGATTAATTAAAAAATATTAATTAATAAATAACGTCTTTTGCATAATTAATTACAATTTGGGTTGAAATCCCCCTAGTCTATCTACTGGAGTGCCATCTAAAAAAATTGAGTTAACCTTCACGTGAACTTCAAATGACTCTTCAGGGTCAAACCAATGATACCGTCTAATGGCTCCCTCGAAACCATACAAAACGTGATTGAACTATTTTTCTCTAAAATCAAAAATAAGAGAGATGTTTAAGGTGGACGCTAAAAATGGGACACCCTGTATTCCATTGCGATTAACATGTTTCCGCACGATCGAAATAGATATAAGAGATCAGATTGGTGAAATACCATTTGAATTTGGGACGTTGACAGTTACATTACAATTTAGACGTCGAGGTTAGAGATAATTATCCCGTAATTAGAACACATAGATATGACGCATTATTTAGAATTTTACGAAGCACAATCCGGGGGAAATCGTGGAGGCGGAGTTCCACGAGTTTTCGTAGGATCGTGGTATCAGAGCGATCGCGGTATCGGTAGTATTCTCGGTGGTCTGTTCAGACGGGTGTTACCTTATTTGGCCAGTGGTGTGCGTGTCGTTGGAAAAGAAGCTCTACGCGCAGGTATTAATATATTCGATGATGTGGGGAATAGCACACCATTCGAAGTAGCTGTTAAAACGCGCCTCGGGCTCAAATCTCAAAAGAAGAGCAGGAGAACACATTAACAATCTGATGAAGGGGTCGGGATATAAAGTTCCTGCGAAAATCGGAAAAGCTCAGTTTCCTTTCAACACGCCAAGCGGGTACAACAGTAAATCTTCGCGCAAACATCGGGTCAGCGCTTCTAAATCAAGTAAGAGGAAAGTGATTTGAAGAAACGCACCGGGGAAGAAATCGGGTAAGAAGTTAACGAAGAAACCCACGAAGAAGAAGCGTTCAGTGAAAAAAAGCGGGAGAGGACTCACTAAACGTCGGGAAGTTATCAAGAAGTGTACTGTGTCAGACATTTTTTCCTAAACAACAAACACGTGCTTTCGAAGCATGTCCTTTCTTCATACGTATTCCTGCAAATGTTTAAAGAGTGAACTCGATCTCTTCATCCTACCGTCTATACAAACAGTATTGAGAATTCACAATGGATTCACTACAAACCTGTGTTTTCTCTCACGGACGACGCGCCCGTCGAATTCGTCGTACCCGGGCATGGAGAAGAATATATAGATCTTGCGTACACCATGCTATACGCATACGAGTAGAAACGGAAACCGGAGCAGGAGCCGCCGCCGTCGCAAAAGTAAACCATATATTCTACTGTACAAAAGAAGTGATATATTAGACAATAGCGCCAACTGAGAAACCTAATATATATTGCCATACATTTTTACAAGTAACATTTATTTACATGTAAAATTTACTGTCCCAATAACTAAAGTATCAGTAGCAGTACAGTTATATCACATGTAAAATTACATGTAAAATTTACTGTCCCAACAACTAAAGTATCAGTAGCAGAACAGTTATATGGTATGTAGACATATAATATATATATTATATTATACAAAAGAAGTGATATATTAAAACAGTACCGCCAACTGAGAAATCGTACACTTAATATTTTTAGAAATTTTCAAATTATTTCCTTTTTTAAGATATATATTATGTACATAACATAAGTTTTTACAAGTAAAAATTACAAATTCAAATTACTTCCTTTTTTTAAGATATATATTATGCACATAACATAAGTTTTTACAAGTAAAAATGATATCGTGTTATAAAAATTTAACACGTTTATTAATAGTGTCCAATATTTAAAAAAGATAACCGGGTTATTAAGCTGCATTAGAACTCATACTTCTGTAGCTGACATTAAAATTGTTAATATGACCCGGGCGCGCCAAGGGTTTTTTTTATTTTTGGTGAATCTTCATAATTTTTTTTTCAATTCCTTGTATGTTTGGATTAAATTTTTTTTTTCTTTAAATTTAATATAAAGTTAATAAGTAACGCGCGTTACCTGCTGTTATTGTTAAAAATAATAATGACCGTGACAACCCAGTAAATAGTATCGTATAACTCAGTGTTCTAATAAATAATGAAAAATTTTGTAAAAATTTATGTTATTGACATCTTTTGTAGTTAGCTTTTCTTGAATTTTCTTGAATAATAATAATCATTAAAAAGATATCTTTTTTAAATATTGGATACTATTAATAAACGTGTTAAATTTTAATAACACGATATCATTTTTACTTGTAAAAACTTATGTTATGTACATAATATATATCTTAAAAAAAGGAAATAATTTGAATTTGTAATTTTTATTTGTAAAAACTTATCTTATGTACATAATATATATCTTAAAAAAAAGGAAATAATTTGAATTTGAGATTTCTAAAAATATTAAGTATAAGATTTCTCAGTTGGCGGTACTGCTAATGCCGACGGTACTGTAACTTTGAAGCTTCATAACTCGGGATGTACTTAACAAAAATATACTTTGTTGTAGTGTTTTGGAAAGCTCTTGAAATCCGTTATAAGAATATGTCAAAAAAAGTAGGGCATTCCATTTGAAAAGTTCAAGGTGACTTTGCCCTGACCTTGTTGACGCCAGCCAAGGTCAAACTGATAAGATCTATAACTACATCATTTTAAACCTTATAACTTTTACCTGAAACATTTTCTCCAAAAACTGATTAGTTTCGAGATATTTTATCGTTCGAAGACTTTTTGAGAACCCTGTATATTAGGTTCCTCAGTTGGCGCTATTGTCTAATATTGTGTTAAGTAAAAAGTTTTGAGCGTTTTCCGCTAGATGGCTTTAGTGAAGTCATATCTCACGATGCATACGTCGCATCTGGTTATTCTATACTGCGACTTAAAGGTGACATAACGCTTTAAAAAAAGTTGTTTGACAGTTTTGTGTTTGGTGAAGCCAGTTGTGTGTTAGAGCGTTCCAAAATGGAGGTATAAAAAGAGAAAATTCGAACATTCTTCAGTGCCACTACGACCAAAGGGAAAAAGCGGAGCAGGCGGCCAAAAAAATTTATGCTGTTAATGGACCCAATACAGTATCGAATGCAACAGCAAAGTGGTGGTTCCAACGATTCCGTTCTGGTAATATGGACGTCGAAGATGAGACACGCTCTAGTAAGTCAATCGTCGAAAATGTCGATAAAATCGTGGAAATCGTCGAGTCGGACCGGCATACAAGCACTTATTCCATTGCCCAGGAACTGAAGATTAGCCAGAAAACTGTTTGGAACCATTTGCATAAGGCTGGTCTCAAGAAGAAGCTCGATGTATGGGTGCCACACGAATTGACGCAAAAGAACCTTTTGGACCGAATTCATGCCTGCGACTCTTTGCTGAAGCGTAACGAAATCGACCCATTTTTGAAGCGGATGGTGGCTGGCGATGAAAAATGGGTCACATACGAGAACAACAGGCGAAAAAGATCGTGGTCCAAGCGCGGTGAGCTGGTCCAAACGATCGTCAAGCCCGGATTAACGGCCAGGAAGGTTTTACTGTGTGTTTGGTGGGATTGGAAGGGAATCATCCACTATGAGCTGCTCCCATCGGGCTAATCACTCAATTCGGACCTACACTGTCAACAACTGACCAGATTGAAGAAGGCGATCGACGAGAAGCGGCCAGAATTAGCCAATAGGAAGGGTGTTGTGTTCTATCAAGACAATGCTAGGCCGCACATATCTTTGACGACGCGCCAGAAGCTCTAAGAGCTTGGATGGGAGGTTATATCGCACCCGCGTATAGCCCACACCTGGCTGCAAGCGATTATCACCTTTTCAAGCATTTGCAAAATTTTCTTGATGGTACAAAACTGGCCTCAAGAGAGGCTTGTGAAAATGAGCTGGTCAAATTTTTTTACCAACAGGGCCGAGGACTTCTTCAATCGCGGAATTATGAAATTGCTTTCAAAATGGACAAAAGTTATCGAACAAAACGGCGCATATTTGATTTAAATCCGGTAATCATAACTTTGTTAATTTCATCGTCGAAATAAAGAGAAAAAACGCTCAGAACTTTTTACTTCACCCAATATATCACTTCTTTTGTACAGTAGAATAGTGTTGTAGAGTTTTATTATAGTTATAAGTTTTACTTGTAAAAACTTATGTTATGTACACATAGTGCTTGTACTTGGCGCCTTTTTTTTACCTTTTTGTTTAAAAAGGTAAGTTTTATAATAAGTTTTACTTGTAAAAACTTATGTTATGTACACATAGCGCTTGTACTTGGCGCCTTTTTTTACCTTCTTGTTTAAAAAGGTAAGTTTTATAAACATTTTACTTGTAATACAATAATAAGTTTTACTTGTAAAAACTTATAAATTTTACTTGTAATAATATAATAATAACCTTTGAAAATAAATTTTTTGAAAATATTGGATACTATTAATAAACGTTACTTGTAAAAATTTATGCCAATAAATGGATACCCGAATTTTTTATTACATCGTCTTTTCCTACCAATTAATTTAAACAACTTTTGTCTGAAACATTATTTTATTTAACTAATATTTTGTGACATATTTCAGGAAAACTGAATAACTTTTTCAATATTTAACACACGATATTTCGCTAATTATTAGTCAGAAGAAAAAATGGTACTAGATTTTTTTCCTCTATTTAGTCTCAAGAATATATTATTCCAATAGCGTCATGAATTTGATTAATTTGATGATTTTGAAATTTCAAAAAATCAGCAAATTAACAAAAGTCAAGCGCTATTGTAAAAATATATTCTTGAAACTAAATAGAGCAAAAAACTCTAGTACCACTTTTTCTTCTGACAAATAGTTAGCGAGATATCGTGAGTTAAATATTGAATAAGTTATTAAATTTTCCTTAAATAAAATTAAAAAATGTTTCAGACAAAAGTTGTTCAAATTAATTGCTAGAACAAGACGATATAATAAAAAATTGGGATATCCATTTAAGACCAAGGTTAAATTCATAACGTCAGTAAATAGATCCTTTGAAGCCCTACAACTTTTGTCTGAAATATTTATCTCCAAAATGTTCTATTTCCGAAATAAAAGGGCTGTACGAGTAGTCTGAATCACTCTGTATATATAATAATTTATACGCGTATAATATATTAACACGTTTCCAACATTTATTATCTTATACAAGAACTTAATACCTCGCCTGTAATAAAATTGGATATCTGAGGTATATAGTCATCGACAAGTTTCAAAGTCTGCAAAAAACAGTAAATATTATATAATAATAATATATAATATATAAGTGAATATTATAATCCGTAACCTTTGAATCTGCATCTGCTTCTGTATAATCAATTGCAGTAGTAAACATTACATTTGTTTATTATTATCTAAAAATAAATACAATTCATTAATTATATTATAAAGATTCAATTTGTTTTAATGTAATATAAATAAAATATACTAACATCAAAGCTGAATCTGTATCATTCAAAGGATCAGATATATCCAATCCATTACTTGCATTTATTCCTATTTTCTCAGTCATAACATCTGTTGTTTCGACAACTTTATCGTGTGAAATATTGTAACATGCTTTAGCCTTAGAGAAATTTTTGTAATTATTAGTCTGATATACAGTATAGATTAATCTGATATACAGTAACTAATGCATTTAAAACTTCGTTCTGTATGCCAGATCCAGGAATTACTCTACAAGAATAAGATTGTAAGTTAATTACATACAAATAATATTAATGAATAAACGCATAAAACCTATTTGAACTAAAAATATATTAAAAGTTAAGTATAAAACTTTATATTAAAAAAAATTATACTTACTTGATCGTCTCGTTTTCGATGAGAATGTGAATATCCTCCATTGGTGGCAGATATCGCAGATACAAACTATATTATCTGTTATGCAAGCAATTGGAAAATTGCCCGGATATAGCGCATGAAGAGGAAGAAGGGGCCGACAACCTTATTGAAATATATTTTTTTTTATCTTTTATTTATTCTTAATATTCTTTCATATAATTTGTTTTTTGTAATTTGAATGTATTACAACTTTCATTTATATTACTTTAATCCGTAACCTTTGTATCTGCATTTGCTTTTGTATAATCAATTGCAGTAGTAAACATAACATTTCTTGTATTATTATCTAAAATTAATATAATTCATTAATTATATTATAAAAATTATTATATTAGTTTTATTGCAATATAAATAAAATATACTAACATATCAAAGCTGAATCTGTATCATTCAAAGAATCGTCAGACATACCCAATCCATTACTTGCATTTATTCCTATTTCCTGAGTCATAACATCTGTTGTTTCGACCTTATTGTGTGAAATATTTTTACATGCTTTAGCCTTAGAGAAATTTTTGTAATTATTAGTCTGATATACAGTAATTAATGCATTTAAAACTTCGTTCTGTATGCCAGATCCAAGAATTACTCTATAAGAATAAGATTATAAGTTAATTACATACAAATAATATTAATGAATAAACGCATAAAACCTATTTGAACTTAAAATATATCAAAAGTTAAGTTTAAAACTTTATATTAAAAAAAAGTATACTTACTTGGGCTGCGTTCCGCAAACCGCATCATGCACATCATGTTACGCATTACTGCGTGATCGTTCCACAAATGCATCATACGTACAGTCGTAAAGAAAAAGTTGGCCATCGTTTTTCGATTCGTTCAGCCAAATGTCCAATGGCAGAACTTGTTTCGGATAAATTTCTAGGTGATAAGTTTTCTCTTTGGACTGTTCGATTATGCTCCAAAGCATTGATTAGCGGATAACCTTTTCGTCCATATATATATCAAATTAACCTGAAGTAAAATTGAGTTCTAATTAAAAAATGGAAGTTTTAGAAATAAACCAAGTACTGGATATTTTTGAAAAAAGTGATAGTGATAGTGACAGTGTAATAGAGTTACTTTTTTGTGATTCGAGTGATGATGAAAACAATATAATGATAAATATTAATGCAGTTATAAATAATAGAGGTGACATAGCTGAAATTCCTAAAGTACATAATTATATCGAAAATGTAGTAAACAACTTAAATGCCGAAGATTTTAAAAAACACTTCAGGTAAGTAAATTTAAAAAAATAATTTGTATTAGGAGCGCAAAAAAGTTCTGAGCCCTAGATTTCATACTACTGAAACCACAATTTAAATTGCATTAATTTCCCGCCCTCTTGCGGTTTTAAAGCAGTGACATTTGGTCTTTCGAAACATCGTGCGATTTGGCGTTTGATGCACATAATCTTAAAATCAGCAGTGTTCACGATGGCAATAACAAAAGAGCATATTCGATTTCCCATCCACTTCGCGTTTCATCTGAAGAAAAATGCTGCTGAAGCCACTGAAATGATCTGTGTTGCATATGGAGAGAACGCTATAAGTTATGCTACGTGTAAAAGGTGATATCAAAAATTTCGCCAAGGAGATTTCAGTTTTGAAGATGAACCGCGTGCTGGACGCCCTCAAAAGATTGAAACGGACGAACTGCAAGTATTGTTGGATATGAACTCTGCACAAACTGAAAAGGAGCTTGCAGAGCAACTTGGCGTTACGCGACAAGCCATTTCCACACGTTTACATGCAATGGGAAAAGTTCAAAAGGAAGGCAGATGGGTTCCGCATGCACTGTCCGAAGACAACAAAAATCGACGGCGTGACACGGCACTCACTTTGTTTTCAAGGTTCCGGAAAAAAGGATTTTCTGCACCAAATCATTACAGGTGATGAAAAGTGGATACTTTATGATAATCCGAAGCGTAAAAAATTATGGGTTGACCCTGGTCAACCTTCGACATCGACGCCAAAGACCAATATCCACGCCAAGAAGGTTTTACTTTGCATATGGTGGGATTGGAAAGGTGTATTGTGTAACGACACATACCGGCAAATGTGTCGTTACGCTGACTGCCACTGAACATCACGCGGCAGTCAGCTGAGCGCACGCCCCCCGACCCGCGCTGTCACAGCGCTTTTTCAACGCGCTCACCCGAGGCTGGCCGAAGACCCGGCAGCAACGCTCGGGAATGATCGGCCACCAAGCCGAACTCGCGGCGCCGCCAAAACGATCCTCGGCGAACGTCGCATACTCACGATTACTCTCGATCAAATTCGGATTAATCAACGAAAGAAACCGAAGACAGAAAATGACGGATATATAAACCCGACAGTTCTTGTCTTTGGGACAGTCGAGTTTTGGACAGGCTTCAAGCAGTCTTGGGAGAGTCTTCGGAGAGTCTGAAGCGATCCACCGTCTAGGAAAACTCGTCAACGAATCTGCGGAGTGCCTCCAGAAGATCGAAAGTTCCGAGTAAGTAATCTACCAGGCCGCAGCCGTCGGCATCCGCGATTGCTTCCGTTGATTGCGATATTTTGTGCCGTCATTGCGATATAAAGATCGGACGGCGAGTTTGCCGTCGCTCCGGTGTGTTCACCGGAACGATCTTATTTCGTGCCGTCTTCGCGATATAAAGATCGGACGGCGAGTTTGCCGTCGCTCCGGTGTGTTCACCGGAACGATCTTATTTTGTGCCGTCTTTGCGATATAAAAATCGGACGGCGAGTTTGCCGTCGCTCCGGTGTGTTCACCGGAACGATCTTATTTTGTGCCGTCTTTGCGATATAAAGATCGGACGACGAGTTTGCCGTCGCTCCGGTGTGTTCACCGGAACGATCTTATTTCGTGCCGTCTTCGCGATATAAAGATCGGACGGCGAGTTTGCCGTCGCTCCGATGTGTTCACCGGAACGATCTTATTTTGTGCCGTCTTTGCGATATTTTGTGCCGTCTTCGCGATATAAAGATCGGACGGCGAGTTTGCAGTCGCTCCGGTGTGTTCACTGGAACGATCTTGTTTTGTGCCGTCTTCGTGATTCAGAGATCGAACGGCGAGTTTGCCGTTACTCCGGTGTGTTCTTCGGAACGCTCTAAAAAATATCTTTCTTTTTGTTTCTTCCTCTCTACTTCCTATAGGACTCAGAGCACGTAAGGATACAAGGGCAGAAAGAGTCGTCGCCCACACCTACCGACTGTCTGGCACGGCCGCCGGCCCGGAGTAACCCCATCGGAAAAGCGCATCGCGCCGACCCCAAAAATCGATCAACGACCGCGACGAATAGAATCGGGGAGCAAGCCCGATAGGCATCGCGAATCTCTCCCGTCGTCAATAACGCGAAGAAGCAAAGCGAATAATTACGGCGTGCCGAAAAACAAGCGTGAGCCTTACGCCCGACGCACGACATAACTATTGTGCGCGCCCCACATAGCGCTAACGCGGCTCGACGCGACGCGCTTTTGCGCACTTTCTTCTATACGCCGACAGTCAAACGAGACGAGGACTCGGCCTTTAAACGCCGACTAAAGGCTGCGACGACGCCCGCACGGAATCTCTAGTTCTGCCGATGCCCGGACCCTCCGACAGCGAATCTTTCATTTTCTTGTAAATCCTATGTATTAAAATAATTACTGCTGATACGCTCTAGACAAGTCGAGAATCACGCATTAGACAAAACCACCGTCAACACGGCCGATCCCCGAGACGGCAAGCATAAGCGTAGAAACAAAGCCGCGCGTCGAGACGGCACCCAAACAGTGGGAACCTCGCGCGATAACACGCGGTCATTACATGCTGAAGCAATAGAATAAAGCGTCACTGTCTACAAACACCGACCGACTTCAATTATTCACCAAGATCATCTTCTCCTAATAAAATTTCTGCGCGCGATTCGCTAACGACGATCGCAACGCAGGGTCGGATCGATAAAAGAAAAACCGAACCCGGAGGCACCGGCGTTACAATTGTATTACGAGTTGTTACAGCCGGGTGAAACAGTAACGGCAGATCGCTATCAGCAACAATTGAGCAATTTGAGCGATGCGTTTGAAGAAAAGAGGCCATTTACTGGCAAAGGACGTCGTAAAGTGATACTGCTTCATGACAATACCCGATCACATGTTGCGAAAGTGACTCAGGACTATATCTTTGCGTTAGGCTGGGAACTTCTCCCGCACCCGGCGTATAGCCCAGACATGGCGCCTTCCGATTACTACCTATTCCGGCCTCTGCAGCATTTCTTGGCTGATACACATTTTGTGACACTTGAAGAGATACGAAAATGCATTGATGACTTTATCGCCTCGAAGCCGGTGAGCTTCTACCATCAGGGAATTCGCAAGCTGCCCGAAAGATGGCAAAAGGTCATCGATGCAAACGGGGAATATTTCGTTGATTAATATAGTTTTGTTTGTTTTTAAATAAATTTTAAATTTTGCAAAAAAAGGCTCAGAACTTTTTTGCGCTCCTAATAAAATATTATGCACATAAGAGTAATAAAAACAAACAATATTTTTTTAACAGGTTATATCCAACATCTTTCGAGTATATTTTACAATTAATAGGTGCTACACTTGAAAACAGAAACAAAGAGCTTGGGAATAATCCTATTCCAGCTAAAAATCAACTATTAATGTCATTATAGTCATTATAGTTCAGGCTACTCCTGAAAGTTTTCGGTATGTTTTTTAATATCTTTTTAACATTTTTTAACTTGGGTAATGTAAATAGACATAATAATTATATTAATACTTAATGGTTAAATATATAAAATAATAATTTTCTACGTCCAGATCAATAAGTGATAGATTCGGGATTGGTAAAGCAACTTGTTTTCGTGCATTGAGAAGAGTCATATTTTCTCTTGTCCAAATTGTGCATCAATTTATCCAATGGCCAACTGGACGAACAGCTGTCAAAATAATGAAAGATTTTTATAAGATAAGTGGATTGCGTGGCGTTATTGGAGCCATAGATGGGATTTTGATAAAAATAAATAAACCAACTGAAAATAGTGATGATTACATTTGTCGGAAAAGATACCCTGCTATTCATCTTCAGGTAAATTAATGAAACATATAACATACACATACACAGTTCTATGTAATAGTTTCTTTGTTAAATTTTCAATTTACAATTCTTTGTATAGGTCACCTGCACTCAACAATTATTATTTACAAGTGTATTAGTAGGCTATCCTAGAAGTATACATGATGCTCGAGTTTTGCGCAATTCAAGAATTCATGAGTACCTGGCACACCCAGATATTTACTTTTCTGATAATTCTTATATTGTAGGAGACGCTGCGTATCCCATCCACTCAAATTTAATGGTACCATTTAAAAATAATGGCTATCTTACTAGGAGAGAATTAAATTTTAATTGCTGTCTGTCATCAGCTCGCATAGCGATTGAAAGAGCTATTGGGGTTTTAAAAACAAGGTGGAGGAGAATATTTGACAGATTGTCACTCGTAGATATAATGAAAATTCCTGAATATATAGTTGCTACGTGCGTATTGCACAATATTTGCATCTTACAAAATGATTTAGTAGATGATGAATGACATAATATTGACAATGAACTTAATCCTATATCACAAGATTTTGTACAAGATGTAAATATTGATACTGCCATAGCGAAACGTAATGCTATAATGAATAATTTGGAAATGCGATTTGTTAATTTAAAATGATTATCATTTCTCATATTTTTTTGTAAAATAATTGATGTTGTTTAAAATTTGAAATTTTGTGAACTTGTATGTACGAAAACTAGTGTAACTTATTGCTACAGCTATATACGTATAAAAGAGTACTAAATAACTTATTTAAGTTTTTATAATATATATGTATAAATTAGCTATGATATCAAATATAGTAATAGTGGTATTCCTATACATAGTAACATCGACATTAATAATTATAACAAACATGTTTCCCTCTTCGGCTTTGCTCAATATACGTATTCAATATATTTTTTAGTGACTGGAATTGGTTGTTTAACGCAAAAAGAGAATAAAGTTCTTTTTAATGTTAGTTTGTAGTTGAGTTGTGTTACATAGCTTTAGAGTCGTTAATAAGGGCATTATCTCATTAGTCTATATTATTTTAAAATAATTTATAATAATAATAAACATAATTTATAATAAACATATAATTTATTCAGCCGTTTATCAACAATGTAACACTTATCACAAATGTAACATTTTATTGTTTGTATAAATAAAATATATTTTTTATACTAAACAAAAATATATTGCAGTTTGTACTTTTACAAAGAATCATCCCAGACAGCACAATGTCCGAAACTGGGACATAAAACGTCTTTAAGACGACTTAAAGATGTCTTATTTTCAGACATCTTAAAGACGACTTAAAGATGTCTTAAAGACGTCTTATGTCCCAGTTTTGGACATATGTGCGGTCTGGGATATTTTAATCTCACTTTTTACCTTATACTAAGTTTTGAACTGTAGTAATAACTGTAACGTTTGGCTGTACTATTAAATAATAAACTGGAATTTATATATATATATATAATATTAAATATTGTTTACTTGTCTCTACGCGTACATTAAATTAAATCAATTATTAAATGTATCAGTTTTACACAAGTCAGTCTTACATAGAATCAGTCTTGCAAAAAAATAAAAACGTTCAAATGCTATACTATATTTGCACAACTAATTACTAATGGAATGCTAATAATGTAATGAAAGTATTAAACTAAAGAATTATATCGAAAATGTTTTTTGAATCTCGAAAATAAAACTTGTGTTTAATCTATCAAATATTAAACTTTATAATTATCTGTTGGACACAGTTTCAAAGATATCAGATATCTTTTTTTATAAAATAGTAAGAATATTAAAAGAACTGTAAAATTTTAACATACATCTCTAATTTACTGTTTATCATGTGTATTATTTCCTGAGTATTTTCGTGTCATTAAGTCCAACAATTTTTGTTGCATCATCATTTTTTCATTGTGCATCGTGAGTCTTTCTTGTCTAAATTTTTCAAATATTTCAAGTTTTCTCTCTTCTCGTAGTTTTTTCTTGACAGTATTTATTATTCTTTGTCGGAGATACACTCGTGCTACGAAGAGAGACACACACCATTTCGCACACGACAAAAGACTACTTCTTCTGTCATCGGCACTCGCTTGTATATGTCGCTCGCGTTTGCGTAATGCACAGAAAACAAAAGAAAAAGGTGCACGGAAGAATTGCGCGATAGATCAAAATAGATCAGAATAGATCAAATAGATTTCTAACACTCCTCCTATCGATGCGCTCAATTCATGTTGTATAAACAACTTAAATTCAATAAATCCATACAATATACATGCTTATCTTTAGACAATGCTTTGGTTAATATTATATCAGCCTTCATTTGCTCACTTTTCAAGTAAGTAATTTTTATTTCGCCATTATCGCTCGCTTCGCGTGAAAAATGGTATCTAATGGCAATGTGCTTACTTTTTCCATGAAAAACGCAATTTTTGGTTAACTGAATCGCACTCTGATTATCACAATGCACTGTTGTCGCATTATCAACTAAATCTGGGTAGCCCATATGTTTTATTAATCGTCTCATATAGATTGTTTCTTTCGCCACCTTAGATAATGCCATATATTCCGCTTCCATTGTTGAAAGTGCGATAGATCTTTGCTTTTTGGCTTTCCACGCAACGGGACCATTTGCTAACATAAAAACGTAACCTGAGCATGATCGCCGATCATCTGTGTCTCCAGCCCAATTTGAATCTACATACGCTTCTAATTTTTTTCGTTGGATTCGGTGTACGTAATCCCGTAATTTAATGTTCCTTGTAAATATCGTAACACTCGTTTTGCTAATTTCCAATGAGTTGAGCTAGGATTTGTACAAAAACGACTAAGTGCACTAGCTACAAATGCTAAATCTGGTCGCGTCGCATTCAACAAGTAAATTAATGCGCCTACTAGCTTCCTATACGGTACATTTTGCATTTGAATTCTTTCTTCATTTGTTTGCGGACTTGATTGTTTCGTTAATACGGTGCTAACTTCCATTGGGGTAGTTACAAATTTGCATTCTCTCATATTAAATTTATTTAGCAAAGATTGTATATGCTTAATTTGCGTTAGCTTTATACTGCCGGTTGGACCTTTTCCAGTAACGTTAATTCCAAGTATATTCGATATCGGTCCTAAATCTTTCATTTAAAAATTTTTCATCAATCTATCTTTAATGCTTTGCAAGCTTTTCAAGCTAGAGGTAACTATCAACAAATCATCAACGTATATTACTATATACGTATAGTACTATAACGCGATTTTGTGGACTTTCTCCTAATACGTATACGCAAGGATCTATATTTGATTTCTTCAGACCTATTTTTGTTAAATATTTATCTAATTTTGTATACCAGGCTCGTCGAGTCTGTTTCAGTCCATATAACGGTTTCTTTAACCGACACACTTTGTCCCGTTCGGTTTCCATTTCGAACATCTCAGGTTGCTCCATGTAGACTTCTTCCTGTAGATCCCTACGTAGGCCGCAATGACGTCCATTTGATGCACGTGTAGTTTCTTCTGCACAGCTACAGCTAGGAGGATGCGTATAGTTTCGTAGCGGGCTACTGGTGCAAAGACTTCCTCATGGTCAATTCCTGCTCTTTGCTTGTGTCCTCGAGCGACCAATCTAGCCTTGTATTTGTCCACAGATCCGTCCTGATTTTTTTTCAGCTTAAAAACCCATTTGTTGGTTAAAATTTTCTTATTTGCTGGCGTGTCTGTTAGCTCCCATTAGTATTGTTTTCGACTAACGTATTGTATTCCGTCCACATGGCAGCTAGTCATGCTTCTCTGTTTTCTCGCTATTGAACTGCGCTCACATTTGATGGCTCTTCGGTATCATTTTCATATTCTTCTAGTACTTCGTGGAATAGCTTTCTTGGTCTGCCAGGTTTTCCTGTTAATACCTTTTTCGGTCGACCCGGTCCTCTTTTCGTTTGTTTTTGTCTAGGCATCTCTTGTATCTTACTCGTAAGGTCTTCTGTCTCTGAATCTTCTGGATGTCCTTCATCGTCGCTGCCCGCTATTTCATTTTTCTCTAGAGTATGAAAGTCTTCATGTCTGATCTCATCTCTCGGTATTTTCTCTTCCTTATTTAACTTCAGATCAATAGGAATTTCTAACATTTCGTTTGTATTTTCATTTGTCCTTCCTTCTTCTGAAATTACATTCTCAAGAAAACGTACGTCGCGACTTTTTATTATAGTTTTTGTTCTCGGACACCAGAGTCTGTATGCCTTCGATTCGCTCGAGTATCCTACCATTATCAGGGACTTTCCTTTTGCTTCAAATTTATTACCTTTTACGCCTTTTTGTAATGCGATTGCCTTTGTTCCAAAAGTACGCATGAAGCGTAAGTATGGTTTTCTTTGATTTCACATTTTGAACGGGGTTTTATTACCTAGAGCTTTCGTGGGGCATCTATTCCTTATGAAGCTTGCAGTATTTATAGCTTCTGCCCACAGGCTGAGCGGCAACTTCGACTGAAGCAGCATGCAGCGGGCCATCTTTACTAGCGTGCGGTTCGTACGTTCTGCTACGCCATTTTGTTGTGGAGTATGTTCCACTGTCAGCTGTCTCCTTATCCCTTCGGATTCCAGTAGATCTGTAAATTCTCGTGACAGATATTCTTTGGCATTATCCGTTCGCAGTACTTTTACATTTTTCCCTGTTTCTGATTTCATTCATCGCGTATAGTTTTTAAACGCATTTATTATCTCTGAACGTTTCTTCAAAATAACGACTTCTGTATACCTTGTCTTGTCATCAATGAAAGTTGCGAAATACCTTGCACCTCGGAGCGATGTTGTGCGCATTGGTCCACATATGTCCGAATGCGCTACTCCAAGTACGTCCTTCGCCCTGTTCTCTGAAACTTTGAATGGTAATTGATGTATCTTACCCAAATGGCATATTTCGCAGTCAAAATTTTCTTCTCTTGTGTTTATGTTAAGATCAATCGCCATTTCATTAGTTGTTATTTTCTTTAAGTCGTTGAGATTTAAATGGCCAAGCCTCTCGTGCCATAACTTGAGTTTACTCGTTGAATTTTTCATTGAAGATGACGCATGTGCTTTGGATGATGATTCAATCTCATCTATAACATATAATTCACCGTCTCGTTTTGCGATCATCGCTACAGAGTTATCCGGACGCTTCACTTTCGCGCAATTTTTATAAAAAATCACTGTTAGTTTTTGTCAGCCATTTGTGATACAGATAGCAAATTATTTCGAAACTCGGGAACAAACATCGTATCACACAGCTTAATTTTGTTCGTAGCACTGCCTTGTAGCTTCACGTTCAGTTTTATCTCGCCCGAACCGGTAGACTTTACACATTGTTCTGTTGCAGTATACACTTTTCGCGTTTTGTTGTCTGCAAATATATGGAATTTTTCCGGATTATAACACATGTGTTTTGTAGCACCGCTATCGAGACACCACTTTGCCGACTTGAATGAATTTGCGTTCATCATAACTGCTAGCATGGCATCTTCTACATTTTTGACTGAATTCTCTTTTTTCTTAGCTCTACAATTAATTGCTTTGTGTCCAGTTTTGCTACAATTATAGCAACTTCCGTCGAATTTTTGCATGAGATGCTTCGGATAATTTTTCCTTGTATTTCGAGGATCGTGTTTGACTCTGCTTTTCCCTTTCACAGACAGCGCGTTATTGTCATTCTCATTCTTACCGACCTGCTCAACATGTCTCGCTTCTTGCTCGATCAACTTTGATTTCAATGATTCCACTGTCGGTAAATTGTCACGTGACTCGATCGCTATACAGAAGCTCTCGTATTCGGATGGTAACGAAGTTAACAACATCACGGACTGTAAATCTTGAAGAATTTTCATTCCAGCCTCTTCAAGCTGCTCAATTTTTCGTTGAAAAGAATGCACATATTCTGTCATTGTTTGATTCGAATCCTTTTTCAGCCGATATATTTGCTTATATAAGGTAGCCTTTCTCATCGGCCTTTTTGACTCGTGTATATTTTCTAGACTTTTCCATGCCGCAGCAGAGGATTCCGTCTTCTTTATGTGATTCAATTGATTGGTTGACACATACAACAAAATCATTGCCAACGCTTTGTCGTCTTTAGTTTCCCATGTAGCCTGGTTCTCCGCCGTCTTCTCAATTCTCTCACACGTGTAGTCCCATAGATCGTTGCAGATCAATACACTACGCATTTGTACTTTCCACGATTCATAGTTTGTTTCGGTTAATTTTTCAATGCTGTTCATGTTTCCGATTGAAGCCATCTTTACTCTCACTTGATTTTTAACCGAACGCGCTGTGGAACTGCCCTGAGCCCTTAACCTGACAGTATTTATTATTCTTTGTCGGAGATACACTCGTGCTACGAAGAGAGAAACACACCATTTCGCACACGACAAAAGACTACTTCTTCTGTCATCGGCACTCGCTTGTATATGTCGCTCGCGTCTGTGTAATGCACAGGAAACAAAAGAAAATGGTACACGGAAGAATTGCGCGCATAGATCAAATAGATTTCTAACATTTCTCTTCATAATGAGCATTTGTTTGGTTCATCAAGTCTTCTAAAGAAGTTTTTCTTTTTCTTTTTGACTTTGTTGTAGGCTCTGTAGATGGTGATAATAAATTATATGAAAGTTCACTTGAAGAGGATGATAGTTCACTAGAACCAGCTTCCGCCAGACATTTTGGAGCAACCCATGCTCGATTCCCAAACATTTCATCCATTTCCTATTAATTAAATATTATTTAATTAATATGTTTTTCATAATTTTAAATAAAAACAAACAATATTTTTAAAGTACTTCATAAAACTGCCAACTTTTCCTACTATTTCCAGATTTCTTGTTGTGATCTATGATGTTTTTATAAGTACGTATTAAACAAGCGAACATATTGCTGCATTGAATTGCTGTTTTTCCTAAAGCAGGATTGATTGTATTTATCTCCTTGGCAATCATTTCCCAAAATTGTCCTTGTTTACAATATCCTTTTTTTGAGTTTTCTTTTTGTTTAAATATATGGAGAAGAAGACGTGTATCACTTACTGACTAAAATGACAAATTTTTTTCTACAAGTAAATAATTATTATTAATTATACATTTCATTTAAAATATCAGAAATTATATCCAGACAGCACGAAATTTTTAAAAGACGTTCTGGAGATGTTCCTAGGACGTATGATCATCTTCAGGATATCTTTACAATGTTTTTGAATGATTTGGATAATAATAGGCAAATCTGTTATATTTTAATATATAAATATTACATACCTTCATAGCCTGGATCATCCACTAATTGTTTTTCAATTATTTCATTAAAATAATTCTCATCAGCATTAATTTGAAATTCCATCTTAAATTTCTATACCTTAGTATTTTTTATAGGTTAGGAATTTGCCTCTACTCCGGACCTGAGGCAGTTAATGTGCGCAGTTTTGTTTAAGCCAAATTCACAATGTAACGATGTAAATAATCGACATAGCCACTACATGCAAATGCGCGATAGAGAAACGATATCTTGCGCACATATGTGTATATATGCGGTTTGCGGAATGTAGCCTTGATCGTCTCGTTTTTGATGAGAATGTGAATATCCTCCATCGGTGGCAGATATCACAGAAAAACTATATTATCTGTTATACAAGCAATTAGAAAATTGCCCAGCTATTGCCCAGATATAGCGCATGAAGAGGAAGAAGGGGCCGACGACCTTATTGAAATATATATTTTTTTATCTTTTATTTATTCTTAATACTCTTTTATATAATTTGTTTTTTGTAATTTGAATGTATTACAACTTTCATTTATATTATTATAATCTGTAACCTTTGAATCTGCATCTGCTTCTGTATAATCAATTGTAGTAGTAAACATTACATTTCTTGTTTATATAAATATTATAAAATATACTAACATATCAAAGCTGAATCTGTATCATTTAAAGGATCGTCAGATGTATCCAATCCAATACTTGCATTTATTCCTATTTTCTCAGTCATAACATTTGTTGTTTCGACAACCTTATCGTGTGAAATATTGTTACATGCTTTAACCTTAGAGAAATTTTTGTAATTATCTGATATACAATAACTAATGCATTTAAAACTTCGTTCTATATGCCAGATCCAGGGATTACTCTATCTATTAATACAAATAATATTAATGAACATACAAATAATATTAATGAATAAACGCATAAAACCTATTTGAACTAAAAATATATGAGAAGTTAAGTTTAAAACTTTATATTAAAAGAATTTGACTTACTTGATCGTCTCGTTTTCGATGAAAATGCGAATATCCTCCATCGGTGGCAGATATTCGGCACCGTTCAACAACAAATGATATGATTCTCTTATGCCAAATATCTTAGTGATGTGTTGTTTGACATGAATAACATGTTGAAATTTTGTTAAATCAATAAAAATTCCATAGATCCGACGCGCATCGTGAAAGAAAGTTGACTTAAACAAGTTAACTTTCAGTCGAAAATGTGAGCGCGGCAGTGACATCTTTGGGGTACGAAGCTTTAAAACCAAAATGCGCGATCGGCAAAACTAACTAATTGTCAAACCTTCGTCGCTCATTACTCGACGTAAACTACTAACGTTGCAATCTCATTGCTCGTGTTCGACTCGAATACAGCACTCACGTGCTGTATATTAATAAAAAAAATCCTAATCAATCACTAATGTATATTCCAGTGATGACGATGCACCGATGTTGCGTACTTAACCCACCATTTCTTCCCAATGTTGCGTATACGCAACACGAAGTTTAACTTCACAAAATGCAGTCAAAATGAACTTATTTCACAATTAGTCTTCGTGAAAAAAAATAATTACTGATAATTAATTATATAAACTTCGTGTTGCGTATACACAACATTGGGAAGAAATGGGTTATGTATGTATACTACTATTCAGCGCTCTCGTAGCGCCCCTGGTGTCGGAAAAACGAGAAGCACAAATCCCCTCTCCTCGGCGGTCTAGCGTTTCTTTCTTATTTTCTTACTGAATCGTAATTTTCCATGATTCAGACTTTATCTTAAAATATCTCTACTTAGAGACAACGTACACAAAAAGCACAAGAACACTTTTCTTCCTATTTTTGAAGGCCGAATCGATTGGGACTAAAAAAACCTCTATCGATTCAGCCACTGCTGAGATATAAAAATCTCACCTCGCTTCAACTCGCAGTTTCGCGTATAATAGGCTTGGAATGCCTTGCGCGGTTCGGGCGCAACTTCGTTGCGCTTGAACTTGGCGCGAGGCACTATCGTGTCTCTTGATACTGCATTCGATGTTCAATCAAATCGACATATATTTCAATCAAAAGTTCGTGTCTCCAAACAATGTTTACGCTTACCGCGCTTACATAGAGGCGTTATTAAATTATGCTTCACCAGTAAAAACCTCCTACCTGGTTTCGTGCCTGTAGTACAGCGATACTGCAGGGAACATGGACGCTCTACCTAGAATGATACCAAGCAATCACGGACTCGACAAGCGAGCCACTTTTGTACAAGGAGGGCGAACACTGGATCTCACAGGTCATCTTCACTACGACGTCTTCAATCAAGATAAATTCTTGCGCATAGGTGTCGACGGTGTCGAAGTGCGCATGAGGCTTGTTCGTTCGAAAGGTTTCTTCTGTCTTATAGAGGGAAATACTATGTCACAGATACGCATTTTAGATGCTACGCTATGCATTAGAAGAGCTAGAATAAACCCAGGCATATTACTTGTTCATACGCAAATGTTGACCAGGACTACTGCTAAATACCCATTCACGAGAGTCGAGGTTAAATCATTCATGATTCATAGCGGCGTCGTAGGAGAGACACTAGACAACGTCATTCTTGGACAAACACCAAAGCGCATAATTATCGGCTTTGTCGATAACAAAGCGTTTAACGGTGCCCGGCATTTAAATCCATTCAATTTCCAGCATTACGGAATAAATTTATTTTCGTTGTATGTTGATGATACTCAAGTCCCTTGCAGACCGTTACATCCCAAATTCTTTGGTGACGAGATGCTCTACACCGAGGCGTATCACACCCTTTTCTCAGGAACGGGCATTCACTTTTTGAACGAAACTAATTCTATATCCAGAGAAGATTATCCTGCTGGTTATACTCTTTTCGCTTTTGATCTTACGCCTGATCTGTCATCTAATTGCACGGACTAATGGAACCTTGTGAAACACGGTAGTTTGCGAATGGAAGTACGATTCGAAAGAGCCCTCACAACAACTTTGCTTAGTTTACGCTGAATTTGAAAGTGTGCTGGAAATAGAATCTTCTTGTCATGTCATTGTAGATTATAGTGGTTAAAAAAACACATCTCTCACTTTTCTTTTCGACGTCTTTCCTCTTCCTGTGTAAAGATTTTCAACGTCATTCTCCTTCAGAGTGAAAACTTTGAGAAAAGAGCTCAGTCGACTTCGAGGCGTGAAGAGTATAGTTTCGGTGAAGCAGAATTGCGAATACAGCGAGAACATGAATGTGATCGTCGAAGTGCAGTGTTTCCGCGATAGCAACGATCTATGTGCTCAAGGAGGTGGCTATTGTCGGTATTAATGAGGCATTCGTCGGACATTGGATCTTAGCTCCAGAATATTCATTTGCGGAATTGAACGAAAAATCAAGACGGATAAATAACTGGCTTTCGCTGAATTATCATGGAATCGAGTGGTACGACGGGGAGACTAATCCGAAATATTTTTATCCGCGCTTGTGTGAAATTACGAGTCATATTCGTGACTTCATGACAAAAGGTTAGGAAAAAGCGAGTTACTTGCAAAATTTGTTAGCCCGAAATGTGCCCAGATAGCACCGGACATCCAATGGATGTACGTTTCACGTCCAATTTATGTCCGTATGTCCGATTTACGTCCGTGGACATAAATTGGACGTAACAAGGATGTTCTTATTTGGACATCGGACCTGTAGGACGTCCGATGTACGTCTATCGGACGTTCATGTCTGATGGACGTCCGAAGTTGTGACAAACGTACGTCCTATGGACGTCTTTTGTAAAAAAAATGGACATATAACGGACGTCCAGTGGACGTCCGTGTGCTATATGGGTGTATAATCTGGAAAATATCTCGTTGACGTCCAATAATCTTTCATCCAACGAATGTGTAGAAGACTGCTCATTCCACGCATTTAGAAAACATAGACATTATCACTGTACATTACGCAACGCATACAAATTAAAACACTGGTACATCGAACAAAGTCAAATCAATATCAGCGACAACGTCTATGTGACCCGGTGTTTGTCCTCCAAAATTGACGAGGAAGACGGTGAAAATAGCTATTCTTGCAAATCCGGGAGTGAAGAGTTATCAGTTGAAGGAGAAAAAAACGAGACAAATATTGAGTTAAAACATTCCGTCGAGTCGTCCAGGACTATAACAATCACGTTACCAAACGTAAAATGAAATTATATAAAACGAATTCGCTCGAAATTCAACATGTATTGCAACATTTCAATGCTAGATACACCGGCGTTTATCCAGCCGACAGATTACCGAGATTGTGGACAAGCAGTAGTCGCTAATACAGACAATCATGACCGTCCAGGATAACATTGGGTTGCATTCTACGTTGATCAAAATGGAACAGCCACATATTTTGACAGCTACGGGATGCCGCCCTAATACTCACGATTTCTCCTGCATCTTAGAAGAAATTCCGTCACTTACCGATGGAATACCTCTCAGCTACAGGGACTCTTATCGGCGACTTGTGACCATTATTGTTGTGTTTTCCTTTACTTTATGTGTTGGAGTTATAGCCTCAGGACCTTTAAAAATTTGTTTACTAATGATTGCGAATGAAACGATCAATTAACTGTACGTATATATATATATAATTAACTGAATGTATAAGAAAATCTTTTGTCAATGTAAGCGTAAATCACTAGATCATCATATCCCTGTGTACCAGGTTTAATCCTGTATTAAGAAAAATGTACAAGAATAAAATGTGATTTCATTCTATGAAAAATTGTGTACATTTCTTTCTCTCCACCTCTTCTCTTTTCCCTGTGATCTCCAGTTCGCGGTAACAAAACCCGTTGTAAACTTTTCGAGTTCGCAAGCGAGGGGACCCACACAGGTAAAAATATTCAGGTAGACATAGACTGGAGGTATCGTCTTCCAACAATCACTGGGTAGTTTTTATCTTCGAAATTATCCTTATCTGCTCGAACATTTTCGCACACGCTCGCGCGACTCAAGAGCAGGGGCTTCAGAGGCTCGAGTCTGTAGGGTCCAGAATTTTCGAAATTTTCCGCGCATGACGTCAATACTGTACATATGTATACAATATAGCCAGTTTCCATTAGAGTATAGCAGTAGCGTAATATATAAAACGGTTGACTCAAGAGCCACCGCGGATCCAGGTTCAAATCCGAGAAGGACCTACAGGATTTTTCCAGAGAACACGCATGCGAGGATGACCACACGCACGTACACACACACACATACATACACACACACACACACACGCACACACATACACCCTGTTATACGAGTACGTCGTGAAGCCAGTTTCTACCAGAGAGCAGCAGTAGCACCGTGGTAAGACGGTTTGACTTAGGAGCCAGTAACCCTGGTTCGTATCCGTGCAGGACCCGCAGAGTTTTTCCAAAACTTGTGATATCAATACTTTCCGTATGTAAGCAATACAACTAGTTTCCACCAGGGTATAGCAGTAGCGTAGTGGTAAGTCGCATGACTCAAGAGCCGCCAGAGGATCCAGGTTCGAATCTAGCAGGGCCTACAGGGTTTTTTCAAAACTTGTGACGGTCGATACTTTCCATATATAAGCATAATTAGTTTCCATCAGGATATAGTAATAACGCAATGGTTTGGTTCGAAAACCTGAAATCCTGGGTTCGAACCTTGCAGAGTGCCTAGAAGATTTTTCCAAAAGTAATATGCAAATTAACCAAGAGCAACTGACCAAGAGCTAGAATCACGAACAATGCCTAATATGAATAATAAAAATTTGATATTTAAATTGTTAATTTTTATTCCGACGGTTCAAATATCCGCCATTTTCCAATCCGGATTTAGGGACCGGTATGGACGCTCAAAACGTTCCCCCTCCACTCTGCCATCCGGCGTCGGTGGGCGTGGTTTAGTGGCCCCGGATGGGTGAGTGGAAGGGGAATGTTTTGTCTGGCCATACCGGCCCCTATACTACTCATATACAGTGTGGGGCATCTAAAACAGGCCACCTGAGTAACTCAAGTTTTCGAGATAGGAAAAAATGCTTGAAGTAAAAGTTATAGAAAATCGAGCAACGGACTTGATGGTGATCTTGAGTTTGACTTTTGCCATGATCTTTAACGTAATTTGGAGGTTAACTTGCGTTTTCTAAATGAAAACCCTTATTTTTTATTACATTGTTTTTTCTACCAATTAATTTGAACAACTTTTATCTAAAACATTTTTTTATTTCCCTAATATTTTTTTACATATTTTAGAAAAACTTGATAATCTTTTCAATATCTAACTCACTATATCTCGCTATTTGTCAAAAGAAAAAGTGGTACTAGACTTTCTTGTTTTATTTAGTCTCAAGAATATATTGTTACAATAGCACTCTAACTTTTGTTAACTTGCTGACATTTGGAAATTTTAAAATCATTAAATTAACAAAAATCAGGACATTGTTGTAACAATATATTTTCGCGACTAAATAAAGCAAGAAAGTCTAGTATCACTTTTTCTTTTGTCAAATAGCGAGATATCCTAAGTTAAATATTGAAAAAGTTATCAAGCGTTCCTCAAATATTTCAAAAAATAGACAAATAAAAAAATGTTTTAGATAAAAGTTATACAAATTAATTGGTAGAAAGAATAAGTATAATAAAAAATTAGGGTTCCCATTTAAAAAACGCAAGTTGACCTCCAAATGACCTTGAAGGTCATGGCCAAAATCAAATTCAAGGTCACCGTCAAGCCGTTACTCGATTTTCTACAACTTTTATAGTATATTAATTTATTGATCCCCCTTAGGGTTACAAATTTCATACACTTCTCTTACTCTCTATCTTAACCTACTTATTCTATCCTATCCTATCCTTCTCCCTACCTATACACACACACATTCTACGCTATTCCCTCTCCTATCCTGGACTTCCGTTCCCGTTTACAATTTACCTTCCCTAATCTCATCCTTCTCACACTCATCCTTCCACTCACTCTTCCCTTCCCCCTTACCCCATCCAACTTCTTTAACCGTTTCTCCCATCCCCCTCCTCCCCCAAAACCTCCCCCGACATTTCCTGCCACGTCCTTTCTTCCCCCCACCCTGCACATTCCCACACGTGCTCCCGTACTTCATTTTTTACCCCACATATCCTACACTTCCTTCCTTCTTCCCCCTCCCAGTATTCGCCTCCTTTCATTCCATTTCCCAATCTATATTTTGCAACTCTTTGACACTTACTTTCTCCGCAGCCTTTCTTTAAATATCATGACACCCCCACCCTCTTTATCCATCTATACCATCCATTATATCTTGACTCCTCAATTTTATTCCACCTTTCTTCTCTTTGTTGCTTCCTCTCCCTCTCCACTATTTGTTCCCCTCTCATTTCTCCCCTCTCCCTTAACCTCCTCTACCTCCTTTACCTCCTCTATCCTCCACCCTTTTGCCTTTATGTACGCCTTCCTCTCTTCCTCCCATCCCTTCCTTGCCCTTTCCTTCTTCGCTCCTTCCCTCATTTCTTCCCAACACCTCCTTCCTAGCTCCCTTCCCCTCCCCTCCTTCAATTTCCTTTCATATCCCCATCCTCAATCCTGCCTTTCCACTTATTTTCTCTCTCTGTATCTCCTCTCTGATCATATACCCTGGCGTGCACCTTTTCACTCCTTACATCCATCTTAAATACTTCTCATGCACCCTTTCCATTCCCTCCCTCTCTTTCCATCCCCAAATTTCTACCCCATAACTCATTATCGACCATATCTACCTATCGAACAACCAAATTCTTCTTCCCCAGTCCCATCCAAATCTCCTCTTTCCTATTCCCCACACCTGTCCCAGCAATATTGCCCTTCTTTTTATCCTCTTCCTCACTTATGTCTCCTGTGATCCATTATTCTTTATTGTGTATCCTAAATACTTAATTCTACAACTTTTATTTCAAGCATTTTTTCCTATC